TGGTTTACCATTTCACACTTGTCTAGAATGTCACACCTGAAGGGACTGAGACTGAAGAGCCAAATGGCTGGATAGTAAACCCTTCCTCTTTGGGGCAGAAAGGTAAACGACCCCAAGGTGGGACAGACTCTCCCAAGAGGAGGTCATAAGTTCTCTGGACGACGGAAAAGAAGCTCTCTTATCTCGTGGCTTTTGAACCCCAGGACATTCGAGAGAGCATCATGCTGCTTTCAGAATGCATTTGATTTTTTTTTTACTTCTAATGCAGTTCTGCACTGCAGCCACTAGAGGCACAGGGAAGGCAGAGCTCAAGAAATAGCCGCTCCACTGTTTTCCGCTGGATGTGCCTTTCTGCAAAGGAACCAAAAGATGTGCCTTTTTTTCTACAAGGAGCCTTAAACTTGCATATCCTGCAAATCTATCCACTAGGCAAGCACTGGAGCAAGGCAAGACCAGCAAGCACAGCTCATGGCAGCCAGAGTCATTGCCGTGCTGCAGCCTCCTAACAGGGTTGTTGTTTCCAGCAGTTTCCCTCCTCCTTTTCTTCCACCCAGTTCCATAGTTTTGTCTGCTCAGCCAGATCTTCCTACTAGTGTGTTGCAGAAAATTAAACAACTGTTCCTCTACCCTGAATTTCTCTTTTCTACACTTTGGTGTAGTGGTTAAGTGTGCGGACTCTAATCTGGGAGAACCGGGTTTGATTCCCCACTCCTCCACTTGCACCTGGCTGGATGACCTTGGGTCAGTCACAAGCTCTGGCACAGCTGTTCCTGAAAGAGCAGTTTGTGTCAGAGTTCTCTCAGCCCCACCCACCTCACAGGGTGTCTGTTGTGGGGAGGGGAAGGGAAAGGAGTTTGTAAGCCACACTGAGACTCTAAGTGAAGGGCGGCGTATAAATCCAATCTCTTTTTCTTCATTTTGCTGTTTTCCATTCATTTCTCCCCTCGCCCCTTCCAGTTCCCTCCGTTATTTGTCAGTCTTGGTCTCAACTCCTTCATGTCCCTGGTTGGCGGTGTAGCAGCAAACCTTTGTTAAAGTTATGAACAGAAGGCGGGGTGGTGGTGGTTAATAGTTCCCATGATCTATCAGATAAGAAACAGGAAGTCCCCCCCCCTTCCAGACATGTAATGGAATATGTTGCCGAAGGCTTTCACGGCTGGAGTTCATTAGCTGCTGTAGATTTCCCGAGCTGAACGGTCGTGGTCTTGGCATTGCAGGACCTGACGTTTTACCAGCAGCTGTGACTGCCATCCGCAGAGGTATAACACAGAAAGACGGCGCACTCTCTGTGTCAAGGTGAGAAGAAGAAAAAGGGTAGGCAGGTAATTTATATCTACTCAGGAAGGTGGGGTAGGGCTGAGTCATTATCTTGTAGGCGTTCCCCAGGCTGTGAAACATGCTAATGGAGGCGCTTTCCTGAGGAGGTTCTTTTGTGTATGGATTGTTTCCTGAGGGGGTTTCCTGAGGAGGTTCTTTTGGATGTGGATTGGCTGTTGAAATCCTAATCTTATCTGTAGTGCTATTGTCAGATGTAGACCTTTTGTGCGAAACATCAGGTCCTACAATGCCGAGACCACGGCCGTACAACCTGGAAAATCTACAACAGCTAATGTAATGGAATGTTAATCGTTTTAGTGGTTACATGTGTGAGACGAAGTCAGAACTCTTTCTTTGCTCCCCCCCCCTGTTAGATTTAATTACATTTTAAACACTGTCCAGGCAGTGAGTGTTGTTGTATATTGTTGTTAAGAACATAAGAACATAAGAGATGCCAATGTTGGATCAGGCCAAAGGCCCATCCAGTCCAACACTCTGTATCCCACAGTGGCCAGAAATACCAGTGCCATCAGGAGGTCCACCAGTGGGGCCAGGACATTAGAAGCCCTCCCACTGTTGACCCCCCCCCAAGCACCAAGATGACAGAGCATCACTTGCCCCAGAGTCCCTATCTATACCTTGTGGCTAATAGCCACTGATGGACCTCTGCTCCATATGCTTATCTAATTCCCTTTTGAAGCCGTCCATGCTTGTAGCTGCCACCACTTCCTGTGGCAGGGAATTCCAAGTGTTAATCACTCTTTGGGTGAAGAAGTACTTCCTTTTATCCGTTCTAACCCGACCGCTCAGCAATTTCATGGAGTGCCCACGGGTTCTTGTATTGTGAGAAAGGGAGAAAAGTACCTCTTTCTCTACCTGCTCTTTCCCATGCATAATCTTGTTGTTGTTGTTGTTGTTGTTATAGGTGGGACATCTAATATCCCTTTGTAAACGCTGCTTTGCTATTGTAGACAGTAAACTTCATGTTATATGACAAATGGCATAATCTTTTTAGAAAATATGTCAGCAAAATCAATCCCAGTGATCCGAGTACTTCTCATTCAGCACCGCTACATAATCAATTGTGCAGGGGGTTGGACTAGATGACCCTGAAGGTCCCTTCCAACTCTGTGATTCTATTCTATGGATTGCCCCAGGTTTTGTGCTAGGTAAAAATACAAGGGTATACTGAAATAGATTTCTTACTGATATACTTATTAAAGATTTATTGTGATATGAATTTGTTGTGAACTACAGCCTACTTCTTCAAATGCACCCTTTATTGGTACACATTTGTGTACAAACATAAAATTACAAAATTAGACCTATGGTTTGGATTTGGGGGCGAGGTAGAATATTTGTCCGGAGGCCCATGGTGGCTCTCAGCAGCCCTGTTGACCCCATGCAGGATTAAGGGGCTCCCATCTTGTCCACATGGCCCAACCATAAGAACTAAGCTCACGCTGAACCTGAAATGTTGTAGCTTTAAGAAATACTAGCCTATGTTATTTAAACATAGTTTAGGGACAATACCAAGGAAAGAGCAGTGCATGTTTTCACCTTTTCTTTGTACCCTTGCTCATCCTGAATGCTGGAACACACTGTGTATACTTTGTATTCATTTATTGAACGTTCTTATATTTCGGATGCTCTAAGCCTGATCTCTGTAAACACACCATGCTTATTAGAGCTTGCTAACTGAAGTGCAGTAATAGGGGATGAGCTCACCGTATCTGGAGTGCTGTAGCTCAAAATTGAGGTGCTGAGATAGATCGCTCCCACTCTAGCTTGTTAGGAACAAAGTGCGGCAATTTGGCAAAGCATCTAAGCAGCAGTGCAAATCCAGAGTGCTAGACGTGTGACTCCGTGTAGCTGGAGATACTCTCAAAGTTGCTGGTGGCAGTGGTCAATACCCAGCGGGTTTTTGGTCACCCAACACGCACACACACACACCGGAATAAGCGAAACAGGCAGCATCACCAAGCAGAGAGTGTGGCCACAGGGCTTTTCTGACCAACCTGAATGAGCTAGAGATGAAATGGGGGGGGGGGGGGGGGGCCCCGCCCCCCCCCCCCCCGCCTTTTTCAGTTTTTCCAATGGAAAAATTGCAACATTTGGGAGAACACTAAAAATAAATTCCTGTGAAGTATTTTCTCTTTTAGAATGAGTAAAATGCTTCTTAAGTCAAGGATTTTCACATTCAAAAAGTATAGTATGAAAATGTCTGAGGACTATTTCAATTTCCTGGTGGAAATTTGGGCAATTAGGGGTAGCACTGAAAGAAACCTCCTATGAAATATCTTCTCTTTTTTGAGTGAGGAAAACCTTGTTTACAAAGCGTTTCACTCATTCAAAAAGTATTGCATGAAAAGCCAGTTTGTCCCGGCAACGCGGGATATGAATTGAAAATAATAAATAAATAAAAACTCTGAAGACTTTCTGAATTTTTTCCCCCCATGGAAAAATTAGGAAATTTGGAAGAGCTCTGATAAAGTATGCAGTATTTTCAAGGATTTTTTTTTTGTTCAAATGTAAATGATTTTGGCAGCAATTAATACGCTTTAACATGCTTAATGATAATACATTATTAAAGAGGTTGATGTTCTCAGTGTTATAAAGTTTAGCTTAATAACCAAACATACAGGCAGCCCTACCTACTGTGACTCCGAAAGTTTCTGTCCACATAATACACTTTCTTTGTTTTACCACAGAAGATGTTTTGTATCTTCAGCTTTTATTTATACCTACCTCTCAAATGGCAAATGTTAAAGATACATTTATCTATCTATATCTAAAACTGCCACACCCTGCTTTTCCTCATGGTTCAAGGAAGTTTGAAAATTGTGCTTTAGTAGCAATGGCTCAGAGGTTAAGGCGCTGAGCTGCAGACCAGAAGGTCTGTAGTTTGGCAGTTCAAGACCTTAGTGCCGCGGGATGGAGTGAGCTCCCGGCTCTGGCCTCTGCTCCTGCCAACCTAGCAGTTCAAAAGCAAGAAATTGCAAGTAGATAAATAGGTACCGCTTCGGTGGGAAGGTAACAGTGTTCCATGTGCCTCGCCATTTAGTCATGCAAGCCACATGACCACTTAAACGTCTTCGGACAACGCTGGCTCTTCGGCTTGGAAACAGAGATGAGCACTGCCCCCTAGAGTCGAATTCAACTGGCTTTCGAGCAAGGAAAACCTTGCTGCAGTCTGCAACTCATTCTTCAAATATCAGCTATACTTGCAGTTTTTCTTATGGAAAATGAAGATATTTATACTTTTAAATTCTATAAATATGTCAGGGAGTCAAATTTTATGTGCTAAGTTATAAATGACGCATTTAATGTTAAATCAGTTAAAGGACTTTCAGTTTGATAAGAAATTAAGTATTGCATGTATTTAAGTTTTCTCCGTATTTCTGTTGTTGTTTTTTTAAAAATAGGGGTAGGGTTTTTTTCCCCGTGGCTTCAAATTTTCTGGAAATGTTAGGTCTCTAGAAGTAGCAGGTTGTTCCTTCACTGCAAGAAATATGTTGTCTTGGTTTGGTTGCAGCAGCAGACTGAGGCAGCCGAAAGCCCTGTGGATCTGAGAAAACCACCAGCCTGCCGGGCAGGTTCAGCCGCACACTCCTGCGTATTGGTATTGTGGTCACGTGGGCCTTTGTGCACCTCGCCCTGACCTGCGACCCTCTTTGTTTCAGCGGAGACTCCGATTGAGGAGTTCACCCCAACACCTGCTTTCCCGGCGCTCCAGTACCTGGAATCCGTGGACGTGGAGGGTGTGGCCTGGCGCGCAGGACTTCGCACAGGAGACTTCCTGATTGAGGTGAGTCCTGGAAGCTGGGGTGGGGAGAAGGAGAGTCCGCCACCCTGGGGAGTTCTGCAGGAGAAACCACACAGAGCTGCCTGCCATCCCTGACCGGTCTCCCCAGGTCAGTCTTGCCCCCTTTGACTGGCAGCGGCTCCCTTGGATATCAAGATGGTGTCCCATCACCTATGACCTGAGCCTTTTCACCGGAGGTGCCAGGGATTTAACCTGGGGCCTTCTGCATGCCAAGCAGGTGTTCTGCCACTGAGCCACGGCCCCACCCAGAAGCTTCCTGTCTTTTTGCGGAGGGAGAACACTGGGAACGGAGATTCCCTCACTGTGGTGTTTGACCACTTCAGTCCACAGCCCAGCTGCATGACTGTCAGAAGAATCTGTGGTGGAAAGCACAAGGGCTGCACCTGCCGTCTGTTGTGCAGGCCGCTGTTTGCAGCAGGGGTATGCAAAAAAAAAATAAATGCTGGTATTTTTCAGGTTCGGGTAAATGAGACCCGAAAAATATCAGTAAATGCCAGACTTCCCCAGTAAAATACCAGTAAAGTATTCGGATTGGGGCTAAATTCGGTATTCCCAAATATATTAGGGTTCGGTTTAAACCACCTGAGGGAAAGGAGGCATGTTAGAATGCTTTCTTAACCTCTGGCAGACCCTACAGATTTCCCCCTCAATTTCAGTCCCCGCCAGTCAGCTGGGAGTGAAATTGACAAGGGAAAGCCTGGCTCTCTGCCTTCCGTTCTCTAGCTGACAGATTGTAGCTGGAAAAGGGCAGGCAGGGAACCTAGGCATGTTTACAATGCCTGTTTCCCTTCCCGATCTTCTCCAGGCACCTGGAAAAAATCGGGAAGGGAAGCAGGCATGTCTGCCCCAGGCAAACATGGGTGCCTGGAGAAGATTGGGAAGGGAAGCAGGCATGTTTACAAGGCATTTAAACCCAACAGCTGACTGGCGGCTGAGCCGGCTGTTAGGTTTAATGAGACCTTTTTCGTATAGCAAAATGAACCCGAAAAAAATAATGGCTTTTTCGGGTTCGGGTATACCAGTAGCCAAATACAGAACTGTGATCTGTATTCAGCTTATGTGATACCCGAAAAATACCGACAAGGTATTTTTCAGGTATTTTTTTGGTTCAGCTATAGCTGAATGCACACCCTTAGTTTGCAGTGGGGGTCAAGCAGGAATTGGCTAGATAAATGGGGGCTCTTCAGAAGGTCTTTTCCTTCTGGCACCTGCTGCTCCTTGGGAGGGCCCCATGCAACACCTGGCTGTGCCTGCAGCCTGGATCCTGGCACCCCAGATGTGGACTGCGTCCCTCAAGAGGCCCACCAGGCCCCCACTTTGCAGCTGTAAGAGGTTCTCTGGAGTCACCTTGCGTAGTAGCCACTGGTAGATGTCTCCTCTATGTATCTTTAAAGCCATCCATGCCTTATGGTCCTTTGGCAGTGAAGTAATTTTTGAGTGAAGAAGGACTGTTTCTGTTCTGTAGCTTTTGTCTGATCATTGAATTCCAAATTATTTCGCTGTGCATCACCTTGCGTGCAGTTACCTGGAAAGGTCAGGTATAAATATCCAGAGAGATGAATGCCACCGTTGATGGAGCCACTGGAAGGATGGAGGACCCGTTCGGATTTCTCTTTGCCTTTTGTTTCCTCTGTGCAATGAGCACAATTGCCCTGTGGGGAGGGGACATGGGACGGGGTTTTAGGAGGGTTGGGTAGAAAGTCCTGTTGTTGCAGGCTGACTTGCAGCAACCCCAGAGAGTTTTCAAGGGAAGAAACAAGCAGAGGTGGCTTTGCCGTTGCCTGCCTCTGTGTACCGACCCTGGACTCCCTGGGTTCTCCCGTCCAAGTACCGACCAGGGCTTCCAAGATCTGATGAGATCGGGCTAGCCTGGGCCATCCAGGTCAAGTCTAAAGAGGAGTAATTTGTAGCAGATACGTCCATCAGTGGCTACTAGCCGTGGTGACTGGAGAGGCAGTAGAAAAGAGTAGGAGTCCAATAGCATCTTCTAGTGTCCTGGCCCCATTGGAGGACCTCCCTGATGGCACCTGGTATTTTTGGCCACTGTGTGACAGAATGTTGGACTTGATGGGCCATTGGCCTGATCCAACATTGGCTTCTCTTGTGTTCTTATGTAAAGACAAATGAAATTTGTGGTAGGGTATGGGCTTTTGTAAGTCACTGCTAACTTCTTCATAGCTGAAGAAGTTAGCAGAAACTCATAAAAGCTCATAAGAACATAAGAGACGCCAATGTTGGATCAGGCCAAAGGCCCATCCAGTCCAACACTCTGTGTCACACAGTGGCCAGAAATACCAGTGCCATGAGGAGGTCCAGCAGTGGGGCCAGGACATTAGAAGCCCTCCCACTGTTGACCCCCCCCAAGCACCAAGAAGACAGAGCATCACTTGCCCCAGAGCCCCTAGCTATACCTTGTGGCTAATAGCCACTGATGGACCTCTGCTCCATATGCTTATCTAATTCCCTTTTGAAGCCATCCATGCTTGTAGCACCCACCACTTCCTGTGGCAGTGAATTCCAAGTGTTAATCACTCTTTGGGTGAAGAAGGACGTCCTGTGCCCACGAGTTCTTGTATTGTGAGAAAGGGAGAAAAGTACCTCTTTCTTTACCTGCTCTTTCCCATGCATAATCTTATAAACCTCGATCATGTCACCCCTCAGTCGTCTTTTCTCCAAGCTAAAGAGCCCTAAGCGCTTTAACCTTTCCTCATAGGGAAAGTGTTCCAACCCTTTTATCATTCGAGTTGCCCTTTTCTGCACTTTTTCCAAAGCTATAATATCCTTTTTAAGGTGTGGTGACCAGAATTGCACACAGTATTCCAAATGAGGTCTTACCATTGATTTATATAGGGGCATTATTATATTGGCTGATCTGTTTTCAATACCCTTCCTAATAATCCCCAGCATAGCATTGGCCTTCTTTATTGCAGTCACACACTGTCTCGACATTTTCAGTGAGTTATCCACTACAACTCCAAGATCTCTCTCTTGCTCAGTCTCTGCCAGTTCAGACCCCATCAATGTGTATTTATATTTAGGATTTTTGGCTCCAATGTGCATCACCTTGCACTCATGCGCTAACACAAATTTTGTTAGCCTTTAAGGTGCTACTGGACTCTTACTCTTTTCTACTGCTACAAACAGACTAACATGGGTACTCATCTTGATCTATCTCCATGTTCAGAGGCAGTAAACTTTGAATCCCAGTGCCAGGAGGCAATATCTGGAGAAGGTCTCAGCCTCTATGCCCTCTCGTTGGCCCTCCATCTGAACTGCTTGGCCACTGTGTGCAACAGGATGGTGGACCAGATGGATCACTGGTCTGATCCAGCAGGGCTCTTCTGGTGTTCTTATCAGGGTAAGGCCTCGGCTTCTATGCCCTGTCTGTTGGCCCTCCAGAGGAACTGGTTGGCCCCGTGTGAGACAGGATGCAGGACTAGATGGACCACTGGTCTGACCCCACAGGGCTCTACTGATGTTCTTATCAGGGAAAGGCCTTGGCCTCTATGCCCTGTCATTGGGGCTCCAGAGGAACTGGTTAGCCACTGTGTGAGATGGGATGCTGGACTAGATGGACCACTTGTCTAATTCAGCAGGGCTCTTCTGATGTTGTTATCAGGGAAAGGCCTTGGCCTGTCATTGGAGCTCCAGAGGAACTGGTTAGCCACTGTGCAAGATGGGATGCTGGACTGGATGGCCACTTGTCTGATCCAGCAAGGCTCTTCTGATGTTCTTATGAAGGCTTCAGCCTCTGTGCCCTGTTGTTGGCCCTCCAGAGGAACTGGTTGGCCACTGTGTGAGACAGGATGCTGGACCAGCAGTCTGATCTAGCAGGACTCTGCTGATGTTCTTATCAGGGGAAGGCCTTGTTCTCTATGCCATGTTATTGGCTCTCCAGAGGTCTGATCCAGCAGGGCTCTTCTGATGTTCTTATCAGGGGAAGACCTCGGCCTCTCCACCCTGTTGTCGGCCCTGCAGAGGAACTGGTTGGCCACTGTGTGAGGTGGGATGCTGGACTAGAGGGACCCTCACTGGTCTGATCCAACAGGGCTCTTCTGGTGTTCTTATGAAGGTCTCGGCCTTTATGCCTTGTCTATTGGCCCTCCAGAGGACCTGGTTGGCCACTGTGTGAGGCAGGATGCTGGACTAGAGGGACCTTCACTGGTCTGATCCCGCAGGGCTCTTCTGATGTTGTGTACCATCTTTTGCCTTAAAACATCAACAGAACCAGGGCCGAGTTGCTAGTGCTGGAGAGAGGGAGGAAAGAGACATCGAGACGTGAGACATTAAAAGTGAAAAGGTTCGCCAAACCTGGCAGGCTTGCTGCAGGACGTGGGGGCAGCCTCCAAGCAGCGCTTTCAAGGGCTGGCTGTGTTCATGCAGGCTGGAGCATTAAGCCCTTGAAGTCGTATAATAGAAGCCATTAAAAGCAAAACGAACCCTTTCTAAAGGTCACAAAACAGGACAGACGCGGTGGGAGGAATTGTGCGGCGCCGTGTTCTTTGCCACTAATAGCGTCACAGGCATAGCCCACAAGGTGTCTCCACACTTTGTGCAACCATCACAATAGCAGTGTGCTGTCGAGGAGGAGGAATCCCCTTTGCCCGGCAGCCAGATCTGGCCCGCTGTGAGTTGGGCAAAGGCAGCCGCCCTACGACAGCAGAGGTGCTGCCTTCAGAGAAGGCGTTTCTGCGTCCTGTGCAGCAAACAGCCCTAATCACGTCAGGTCTCAGGAGCTAAGCGGGGTCTGCCCTGATCGGTACTTGGATGGGAGACCACTCAGCCAGTCCAGGGTGGCTACGCAGAGGCAGGGAATGGCCGGCCACCTCTGTCTGTCTCTTGCCTTGAAAACCCTTTGGGGGTCGCCAGCAATGCTCCCTCTTAGCTGTGGAGTCTTGTGAGCAAAAATTCTACTTTGTGAGCTGCTGGCATTAAAGTTGTGAGCGAGCGATCTGGCTGCTGCAGAAATCAGTTGGCTCTGG